ACTTGAATAGTGGAAACCCACCTGTCTAACACCCAAAAAATCTTTATTTAAATTCCTGACCAGAATATCACAAACCGGGTGCCCTGCTCATAAGTCTCTTTTATGTCTTTGTGTTTGCGGGAGTCCATGCACTTATATATGCATTATTATACCATCCAACAAACATAGTAAGGAGGGTATATTAAGTTTTTCATTCCGTTTGTAACACCTCGAAATATACATTTTAGACCTCACAAAGTATATATATTCTTGATCAGCGTAAAATTCTATGTCGATTTATCGATGTCCGTCCGTCTGTGGAAATCACTCTAGCTTCCGAACGAAATGACATAGGTTGATGAAATTTTGCTCAGATGTATATAATGTGTGCAGGACTTTTGGTATTGAAAAGGGGCCATATAGGTCGACGTCTTCGTATAGCCCCCATATAACGGTACCTCCCGATATTCGGTATTTTGATGATTTTAGTGACATTTTTCTCCGGAATTGTTTCAAATTTCGCATTTAATATTCGCAATGGGTACTACAACCTATGCCAGTAAAATATCTACGCAGATCCACATCTTCGGATAGCCCCTATATAACGGTACCTCCCGATATTCGGTATTTTGATGATTTTAGCGACATTTTTCACCGGAATGGTTTCAAATTTCGTATTTAATTTTCGCAATGGGTACTACAACCTATGACAGAAAATGGCCTATGTAGGTCCACATCTTCGGATAGCCCCCATATAACGGTACCTCCCGATATTCGGTATTTTGATGATTTCAGCGACATTTTTCGCCAGAATTGTTTCAAATTTCGCATTTAATATTCGCAATGGCTACTACAACCTATGACAGAAAAATATCTATGCAGGTCCACATCTTCGCTTAGCCCCCATATAACGGTATCTCCCGATATTCAGTATTTTTATACCCTCCACCATACATAGTATGGAGGGTATATTAAATTTTTCATTCCGTTTGTAACACCTCGAAATATACATTTTAGACCCGTCCGTCTGTCCGTCTGTGAAAATCACTCTAGCTACCGAACGAAATGTATATAATGTGTGCAGGACTTTTGGTATTGAAAAGGGGCCATATAGGTCGACGTCTTCGTATAGCCCCCATATAACGGTACCTCCCGATATTCGGTATTTTGATGATTTTAGCGACATTTTTCACCGGAATTGTTTCAAATTTCATATTTAATTTTCGCAATGGGTACTACAACCTATGACAGAAAATTGCCTATGTAGGTCCACATGTTCGGATAGCCCACACAGAACGGTACCTCCCGATGTTCGGTATTTTGGTGATTTTAGCGACATTTTTCACCGGAATAGTTTCAAATTTCGCATTTAATATTCGCAATGGGTACTACAACCTATCTATGCAGGTCCACATCTTCGCTTAGCCCCCATATAACGGTATCTCCCGATATTCAGTATTTTTTCATTTTAGCTTTATTTTTCGACGGATTTTTTAAAATTTCAAATTCTTTCTAAATGATGGAGGGTATTTAAAGTTCGGCCCGGCCGAACTTAGCTTCTTATTTACTTGTTTTGTGTAAATAAATTCAGCCTTTCCTGGTCCAAACTACCCCAAATGCTGCTGTTATTAAAATTTAGTTCAACAAGTTTCCTTTTCTACCTAAGTGTTAAAACCGAAATTTTAATAGAATGTGTTTATACCCTACACCACATAGTGGTAAGGGTATTATGTATTTGTGAATTTGTTTGTAACAGAGAGAAATAAGCGAGATAGACCCATGGTTACTTTTGAAGATATTCATGGAATCATTTTTTTAATCGATTTATGCATGTCCGTCCATGTATTCTTGTGAACAAAATGCAGGTCGTATTTATTATCCGATTGAGATGTAATTTTGCAAACAATGTTTGTTTGGTTTGGATCAGATTTAGATATAGCTCCCATATATATCTTCATCCGATTTTTGGTTTATTGTGCACAACCTGTGCAATAATACCCCAAATGGGATGAAATTTGGCAAATGTAGCCGATGTACACCAAGAATTAACTCTGTGGGATTTGGTGAAAATCGGATGTGATTTAGATATAGCTCCCACATATATCTTGATCCGATTTTTGGTTTATTGTGCTCAGCCTGTGCAATATCAGTCCAAAGGGGATGAACTTTAGCACATGTAGTCAGTGTACACCAAGAATTAACTCTATGAAATTTGGTGAAAATCGGATCTGATTCAGATATTGCTCCCATATATAACTTCATCCGAGGTTTGATGCATTGTGCACCAAATGTGCAATATTAGCCCAAAAGGCATGAAATTTGACACATATGGTCGAGTGAAGGCTATAAAAACCCAATGCAATTTTGTGCACATAACAGCAGTGGTGTAGGGTGTCAGATAGTCGGCTCCGTCCGGGTTGATGTTGGGCTGTAGGTGAGTGCTAAGGCTGGATTTTTTGACGTTTGGAAGGGTACGAAAAGGAACCGAGAAGAGCTACAGCTCTGCAATTTGGATTCAGCGTCACCGATGGTGTGTAGGATAGATGTGACAAATCGTTTTGGGAAATTTGTACCAAAAGGGTGCGAAAACTTCTAATATGTACTTTAAATGTTACTATTCGTATGTTATGAATGAATGGATCTAGAATCGTCGAATTTGGTATGAGAATCAATAATGGTAAGCTCTCTATAGTTATATAAAGAAGTTTTGGAAAACGAGAGCAATAAGTGTTGGAATACTTCTAAATAGGATATAATTGTTGAGTAGAGAAAGGTGGGTGGATATATGGAGATGTTTTAAAAAACGAGTACTATAATTGACAAAAAAGTACTTAATAATGTACAATTCGAACGTAAATATAATGAGTAGAAGTGGAAATTCGTAATTTAGTGTTAGGGTGGAAAGGTAGAGATCTTTTGGAAAAGGAATATCATAAGAGTTGCAAAAGTACTGAATATGGTAGAGATGCAAATCGAAATGTTGTGTTAGATGGATATATGGAAATGTTTTGAAAAAAGGGTACCATTACTGTTGGAAAAGTACTATATAAGGTATAATTTAATAGTAAATGAAGGAGTGGTGTTGAAAATCCGAAAGTATATGGACTTAGCCATATTGGGTGACTACAAATCGCATTTTTTTCTGACGTTGGAATATATTTAGGGAATAATAGATTGGGTGGTCTAATCCAATTTTTGATGGCGAATTCAGAAATCTCACACCTCCAAATGGGACAACAGTGGACCCAAAAGTATATGGACTTAGCCATATTGGGTGAAAATGAATTCAAATCGGAATTTTTTTATTTTTGCTTAATTCAGAGTAATGCTTGTGAGCGATTATTACTCGCTCGAGGAAGCGATCAAAAAGTGAGAGCGATTGCTCCAGTTTCGCTTTCCGATCGAATTCGTGCAAGAAACACAGAGTATGTTTAAGCTCTGCTTAGCATATTTTATCGTTAAATTATTTTTTGTAAAGGAAGAAAAGATTGAAGACGCGTATTTGAAAATGCATCTATAATAATTATTAGTCCCAAATTTTTTTGACTTTAATTTTACGTATTCTTCAATAGATGTAAAATAACCCTCTCTATAAAACAAAACTTAACACTTTTATTTTATTAGTTAATTTTTTAAAATTTCGTTGAAAGTTTTTTTTTAGTTCAACATGTTTTCCCTAGTAAAGTTTGACAATGACGGTGACTTCTATGTTGTCAAAACAAAAGACGTGAAGCATCACAATTCCGACAATTGTATTGTAAAGTATAAAGGCTGTTCGTACTCCGCAAATTTCATTAAAGCTGACGGTAAGTTAATACAATTTAATATACAAAACATATTCAAATAATTAAACCGTTTTTTAAATAAGAGTATAAATTATGTGTCTATGCGACACATTAGTTTCCATGACATGCCTATATATTGTGAAATCATGATAATAACTTTTTTTCATCGCATGTCCTTGTCAGCATGCAAAGGGTATGAAAAATTATTGCTAAAATATGCAAAAATGATTTTTAAGAAAAAAATCACAGCAGGTGAATAAGAAATAATATAATTTTCAAACCCGCGTCGGAATTTTATAAATATTGCTCGAATTTTATTTCCAAAAATATTTGTGAAATTTCTGGAACAAATTTGGTCACAAAATAGAAAAACGATCATTTAGATCGTGCTACTTTGTCCAAAAAATAAATAAAAATAAACTTAAAGCATCACAGGCGCCATTTTTTTCATAATTAAACACAAGAAACAATATGACTGTAAAAGTCTAAAAAGCGTCAAAGGAAAATGTTTTACTTACTAACCGAATTAAGTAAAACTCAAGATTATATCCGTCGGAGTTTTGTAGAGTTCCGTAGAATACAATAGAGTTAGATTTTATATTAGAACGTTACCAGGACTAAAATATTAATACATTAATTTTCATAGATAATAAAGAAAATCTTGAAGAGAAGAAACAAAGTGAGAATTTAATGGGGACAATAAACGCGGAGAATCAAGGAACACAAATAGCACCAAGAATTCCTGCGAGCCGTGGTCGTGCTTATCAAAATATTTTACCGTCGACAATGTTATACATGAAAGAGTATATAAAAAATCTACCTCCACTAGGATCAAACAGATCAGATTAAGAGCCTATGTCTTCAGTCACTATACATGGTGAAAATAACGCATCGGATTCGGAAGAGAATAATACGACAGATTTTTCATCTTTTGAAACTATATCAAGAGGACAATTTGATTTATCCCGGTAAGCATACTTAGCCCAAAAAACCATAAGTTTATGGGAGAAGAAACGTTTTAAAAATAAAACTAAAAATATCTATCAAAAATAATTGACACTAAATATTTTTTTATTATATATTATTTAAATTCTCCTTGATCACATATGACGATTCAGAATTTTGTGTCGTAAATTCCAAATCTATAACACAAATCCAAGGAGGTACGTGTGTGGTGAAATGTAAAGGCGGAAAATATGCAGCTAATTTAATTTCGACTAGCGGTAAGTTAACAAAAATAGCTATATAATTTTTATAATAGATATAATTACTATTTATTGAAAAATCATGGTGATGATGCAGTTATTAATTAGTCCTAGCATTGTTTTTTTGGAATCAAATTTGATTTCAAATATAGAAATATATATTTGGGGAAAGTTTTAACATGGTATATTTTTGTAGATGACAAATTACAACTTTTTAAACAAAAGCAAATAAAAGAAAATGCAATTTTACCGCCGGACATCAAAAATAGTAAATCGGAAGAAAAATCAAAAAATAATTCAGATCCATCAGAAATTTGTTCATCAACAGAGCTATTAGAAAAATCAATGGACTTAAATTGTCCATCTAAAGCATATATTCAAGGTTTTACTGTGGAAATATGCACTGAATGGGAGAGGTCAACAAACCAGAAAACGAAGTTTGGGAAACTGTAGCAATTAATTCTTTGGGGTTATCTGAAGAAACCCCACGAAATGAACAACGAATAAAAAAGTCGCAGCCATTGTCATCAGCTGACATATTAAAAGAATCGTCTTTGTGCACTATATCTAATAGAAATATATAGAATAGGATATATAAAAATGCAGAATATTAACCCTAGCTGTATAAAAAACTCGACCGCAATTGAACCCAAAGTAACCAATAATACTTTGTATACCACGGATGCAAGCAAAATAAATTCTACAATTGAAACTCAATCAGAAGACTTTTCGTCCGATTGTCTACCACCTGACTCAAATGGTATGGTAATACACAACGTTTCTGGTTACACATCCGTAAAAAACCCACAAAAACTACAGGAAACAGGATCAACTAGCGGAATTAGGTCGCCGCTATTGTCATTGGACAGATTAGAAGAATCGTCATGGAGAGCAATATCTAATAGAAAGTCCCCTGAAATGCGGACTACAGATCAATTCCACTTCAAAAACTCAACGGCAATTGAACCACAAGAAACCAGTGACTGTGTAGGTTTTACGGATATAAGCACAATAAATTCTACAATCGAAACTTTGCCAGGAAACTCTACGTCAGAGTTTCTACCCCCCGATTCTAGCAACAACAACAATAGCACAAATGTGAGCTCCTTCATAGAGGTTATACCTAAACCAGTAAAAGTCGATGTTTTGACAGTACCATTTTCGAAGCAAAAATCAAAGCAACATTTCTGTGTGTTTTGCAAAACCTTACAATGTAAGATTGCTCGACACTTTTGTTTGAGGCACAAAAAGGAGAATATGGTTAAAATGGCAATGGCCTTACCAAAAGGAAACCGAAAACGCAGAGAAATATTTGATAAGCTCCGAAAAAAAGGAGATTTTATACATAATACCGCTCATGATAAAAATACAGGTTCACTTATCGTTACAAGACGACAACAATCAGAAGCATACCATAAAGCAGACCACTACGTATGCTGCGTCCACTGTAAAGGGTATTATAGCATCACTTCGGCAAGAACTCATATTAGTAAATGCTCTAATAAAAAAAATAAACGGAACAATTTCATTGAAGGTAGGAAAATCACTCAATACGTACACGAATTGGCAAACACAGAAATCAAAACAGCGATTTTTCCCGTTCTACGAAACGATGAAATTACGAAGGCCATTCGGTACGACGAACTAATAATTAGATACGGCAACAGGTTATCCGAAAAGTTACCTGATATTCACCACCATGATCAAATCCGAGCGAACATGAGACTCTTGGGTCGATTCAAAATTGAGTGCATAAAATTACATCCTGAAATAAAGGAGTTGAAGGAAATTTTTAAGCCACATTAGTTTGATATGACAATTGAAGCATTACGCAAAACTGCAAAGTGGGAGTTTGGTCGGGGGTTTTCTACTCCAGCAGTTGCCACCAACTTATCAGGTTCGTGGGAACATACAAAAGAATGAGTTCATAAAAAATCAAAATATTGATATGAAAGACCTTCTGGACAATTTTGTTTCATTGTGGGTTGAAGAGACTCCCACTCAAATAAATAAAACAGCTATTGAAGATAGAGAAAACAAAAAAAGATCTAAGAAGGAAGATTTGCCAAACAAAAAAGATATCAAACAACTTTATGATTTTCTAAGAACCAAAATGGTATATTCTATAGCTACATTAACTAAACAATTTATCTTTGATACTACTCTAATATGTCTACAAGTGTTCAATCGACGACGAGCCGGTGAGATCGAGAGAATAACTATTGAAAACTACAATAAGAAGGAAACTATTACTGACAATATAGAAGCTGGATTTCTTGATAATATTTCTAACCAATCTTTTGAATTCGCTAAACAGTATGTAAGAATTACCCTAAGAGGCAAATTAGGACGTAGTGTCAGCATATTGCTGGATCCTTTAAGTAGAAAGGCAGTTGACCTTATATTAAAGCATCGCAATAGTGCCGGAATCCCGAAATCAAATCACTATATTTTCGCGGCTCCCGGATCATCAGGAATATCAAAAAAATATATAAGAGCTTGCCCGTTATTACGCAAGTTTGCCTTAGAGTGTGGGGCTACTATTCCTCACACATTAAGAGGAACTAAATTAAGGAAGCATATAGCAACGTATACAGCTTTGCTAAACGTTGAAGAAGCCACAGTGGATAAGCTAGCAAATTTTCTTGGTCACCATAAGGATATACACAAAAGTATTTATAGAGTATCGGTACCAATGGCGGAAATCACTACAGTGTCGAAGATTTTGCTGTCAGCTGCTGGTTGTAGGAATGAGGAAAACTCCGAAAATAATAGTTTTGATAATCTTCGTGGAAACATAACTTCCGAATCTGAGTCATCATCTGATGAATCAGACAATATTACATATGGCGCAAATTTGGTAAAAAAGAAAATTGGTAGTAAGTATAATAGGAAGACTAGTAGTACCTACAATAAGAAACTTGATAGTAAGTATATTGAGTAGAAACTATAACTAAGCTTGCGTAGACTTATGTTTCAAAATACACAGTGGTTAATTTACCGAAAACCATGACCAAAATCAAATGCATTATGATCTAGCTTTAATTTTTTTTTGTATTCCTGATTTTATATTTCATTTCACTTAACCCTCCTACTGAGTATTAATGTGGCCTTTTTGGTCCACTGTGTGGATAAGCTAGCAAATTTTCTTGGTCACCATAAGGATATACACAAAAGTATTTATAGAGTATCGGTACCAATGGCGGAAATCACTACAGTGTCGAAGATTTTGCTGTCAGCTGCTGGTTGTAGGAATGAGGAAAACTCCGAAAATAATAGTTTTGATAATCTTCGTGGAAACATAACTTCCGAATCTGAGTCATCATCTGATGAATCAGACAATATTACATATGGCGCAAATTTGGTAAAAAAGAAAATTGGTAGTAAGTATAATAGGAAGACTAGTAGTACCTACAATAAGAAACTTGATAGTAAGTATATTGAGTAGAAACTATAACTAAGCTTGCGTAGACTTATGTTTCAAAATACACAGTGGTTAATTTACCGAAAACCATGACCAAAATCAAATGCATTATGATCTAGCTTTAATTTTTTTTGTATTCCTGATTTTATATTTCATTTCACTTAACCCTCCTACTGAGTATTAATGTGGCCTTTTTGGTCCACTCACAAAATTATTTAAACAGTACAAATATTTTTTTAGATTATGCTACCGGCACTTTCAAACTCCCCAAATTGCCTTATTTAAAATCCAGTAAAGATTTGATATCATGGCCGATTTGACATTTTACAGATTAATCACAAATGCAATAATAATTGGTCTGTTCCAGAAATGCAGGAATGTTAAAGTTTTTACTACGATAACCGATTTCCTCTTTACGATATCGGAAAAAATTGCAAAACTAGTAGATTCTTGCAGGTTCTGGAACATAGCCAATACAAACTATTTTTTCTATTATATTTTAAATCGGTTTGTTGTTTCCAATATATAATATATTAGATTTTCTAATCAAAAATAAATTTGGAGTACATATTTGTTTGCATAATTTATATTGCATTTGGTTTTGGTCAGGTTTTTCGTGTGCAATTTTTCACTGTGCTATGCCGAAAAAAATGAATGCTAATGAAGAAAGATAAAACTGTTATATTCTTAAACGACTTTAATGTTTTGTTCGCATTCATTTTCATTTGACATTATTAAATAGGATATTTGTTACATCTGTTTTAGGCTTATGAAATGATTATTGTGTAATTTTTACAGATACTTCTTGCGGAAAAACAAAAAAATGCCGGTGGACAATCGATGAGCAAGAAGCTTTGACTGCTGAATTTGGGGATATTTTTTCAATGGAAAAGTTGCCATCTCTCAAGGAGTGCATGAGGGTCGTGTCTGAAAATGAAGTGCTATGCTGCAGAACCCCAGCACAAGTAAAAACGTTTATAGACAGCAAAAGGAAAAAAGGCAAAAAAATTAAGGTTGATATTAATGATGATATTAATGATTTTAATAAAGATATTAATGATGAAATTTTTCATTCATTACAACCCTTTTCGGGTAGTTATTTTACAATGCAATGCTGTTAAATTAATATATGCACAATGTGCACTAAATCTTGTAATAATTTATATACATTATAATATAATTATAAATGTATACTTATATAAAAAAATAAGTCATATAATTTAATACAAACCGCTTTATTTATATACACGAATATAAAAACTTCAAATGTTTATTTAAAATTAAGAGTGTAATAAAATTGCACTATAATTCTAACTGTATTATAAATATATAAAATATTTAATAATATCGAAAGAAAACACTTTATATAAATCATCATATAAATTTTACACGTTTCTTTTAAATTAAATTAATTTGTTTAAATTTATGTTTGCAATAAACATAGTGTTTATATGAACAACTGACAATTACAATATATACAGTTGATTTTCACATATTTCATTATTCAGGAACTGATAAATAGAGCAAAATCCATCATTAGAAATTGTGAGAGTCTACTGTATATTTGAGAACTTTTATTTTGTTACCTTTAAGTGTTGATTTTTTAAGTATTTTTCCCAGCAAAAAATATATAAAAGTTTGGAATTTCTTACTGTACAATCAGTTTCTATAACAATTTACTTAGAATCAAAAAATGCTCCGTCCCAAAACTTGAGCCTAATTCATAATAAAAATAAAATTCCGTTGTCTACTGATAACCTACACTACTTTTCTACACGCGAATCAAAATTCATTTGATTATCCTAATCCTAAATTATTATCCTAATAATAATTTCATGAGAAGGTTGAAGAACATTGAATTGACAGTAATTCCTAAGTTCTTCAGAAAAATGATTTTTTGGATCCTAATTTTCATGCTTAATATTTTTCTACCACAGAAAACATAGTAAATCAAAGGACAGGGAGTAAAACATCATTGGCGGAGATGTTTGTCATAACGATATGAAAGTAGACACTAAAATCAAGGCAGGTTAGAAAATTTTTACTTAGGCCCCTTCTATAACGAAGAAAAAACGTAGACAGTCTTCATTACAGAAGACGACAACAAAAGTCATATTATATACAGAAGAAAAAGTTTAATCGTATTATATAGAGAGGAAAACGTAAGTCGTATTTTTTGCAGAAGAACAAAGTATTAGTAGCCTTCTAATTAAAGAAGATTGTCTGTTATTTGAAATTCAAGGTTTCTTGGGTCTACATGCCTGTTTATTATTGTCGCGTGGACTCTAATTTTGCATTTAAGGGGTCTACTTAGCAACATATGTCCAAATTTTGGTGTAGCCCCCCATACGTCTTAAAAAGCGACGAAGTTAGAAATGCTAATTTTTACATTTGGGGGGGAGCACAATTCGACATGGGTAAGTTAAATAGTTAAGGTTTCATGAGTCTACAACATTCCAGTCAAAACTTGTGGACATAGGTCCAAAATTTGCCATAGACCCCAGAAAGCGCGCCAAAAACTTGAACCATTGTTTCAAAGTATTTTCCAGTGTGTGTGTGCATATTTGCATTTTGCAATTTGCATTTTGCAATCTATTAGTCCCAAAAAAACTTAAGTATCTTACAGTCTGTGAGCACATTTAACCACAGGGCTGTAATTTGACATTTAAAGTGGAGTGGATATTTGAGGAATATGTTTTCCTGAAATATCGATTTTTAAAGAATATGTTGTCTTCAAACTTGATTTTTATACCCAACACCCTTTTTTCAGGTGGTCGACCTTTAGCCACATTTTACTTCTTGTTCGAAAGTTATTTTCATAAGCTTTCCAACGATACCCATATTGAAGTAATCAGTTCCGGAAAACTGGTTTTTTAACCCGAACTTTTGTGTCAAATACCCGGGTAGCCTTTCCTGTGATCAGGACACCAATTTCTACCATTGCAACTCTTTCACTAAACTACAGATAAGTCTAGGTCATCATTTTGCCTACAGAAGGTATATCGTATAAACCCTGATACGATGAGAATGTGCCTACTCGAAATAATGGTTTTAGACACCACATATGCTAAGACGAAATCCGTTTCAGGCAATTTGGATTCGATTTAGCCATGTCCGTCCGTGTGTCTGCCCGATCTGGCCCGAATTTGGTGCACGGTAGTTTTTTGTTCAAACTTAGTTTAAGTTTGAAAATGCCCAATATCGGTCCACGTTTTGACATATCCTCCACACAACAATACTGCCCTATTTTCAGTATTTTAGAGATTTTAGCTTCATTTTTCGATGAAAACAGTTCTATTTTGACCCCACACAATGATACTGCCCGATTTTTAGGATTTTTGATTCATATGTCAACGAAAACTGTTCTATTTTGACCATTAGGGTTCCCAATGGACTAAACACGCTTCCGTTAAAAAGTATGGACTTAGGTCCATAATTGAATTGGCCCCCATTTTAGGTATCGCCCTATTTTATATATTTAGAAGTTTTTGCTACATTTTGCTGTCCTAGTAACAAGTAAATATACATCCTAGGTTTTTAGAGGACAATAAACATCTCTAGAAAAAATTGTTCATATAGGCCTTGATTTTTGTAAAGCTCCCAATTTAAGATACCTCCCTATTTTAAGTATTTTCAAGTGTTAACCAACGCTTTTCGACTTACTAAGGAGTCAACAAAAATGTCATTAAAATATTATGGACGTAGGTCCATATTTTAGTATTTGATCCTTTAACGGGACCGCTTTTTATGAGTATTTTAACTTTTTTGCTTATGGTCGTTATATTAGTCATTTTTCTGATCAAATTTCACACATATCAATATTTTTACCATTACAAAGTCTGGTATAAAGATGGAGTACCGCGAGCCACTCCTTCTAGTACCTCCCCCACAAAGGGTCAAAATTTGGAATAACTAAGACGTTCAAAAATGCGAAATATACATCGGATTCTCATCGGTATTCGGTATTTTGATGATTTTAGCGACATTTTTCACCGGAATGGTTTCAAATTTCGTATTTAATTTTCGCAATGGGTACTACAACCTATGACAGAAAATGGCCTATGTAGGTCCACATCTTCGGATAGCCCCCATATAACGGTACCTCCCGATATTCGGTATTTTGATGATTTCAGCGACATTTTTCGCCAGAATTGTTTCAAATTTCGCATTTAATATTCGCAATGGCTACTACAACCTATGACAGAAAAATATCTATGCAGGTCCACATCTTCGCTTAGCCCCCATATAACGGTATCTCCCGATATTCAGTATTTTTATACCCTCCACCATACATAGTATGGAGGGTATATTAAATTTTTCATTCCGTTTGTAACACCTCGAAATATACATTTTAGACCCGTCCGTCTGTCCGTCTGTGAAAATCACTCTAGCTACCGAACGAAATGTATATAATGTGTGCAGGACTTTTGGTATTGAAAAGGGGCCATATAGGTCGACGTCTTCGTATAGCCCCCATATAACGGTACCTCCCGATATTCGGTATTTTGATGATTTTAGCGACATTTTTCACCGGAATTGTTTCAAATTTCATATTTAATTTTCGCAATGGGTACTACAACCTATGACAGAAAATTGCCTATGTAGGTCCACATGTTCGGATAGCCCACACAGAACGGTACCTCCCGATGTTCGGTATTTTGGTGATTTTAGCGACATTTTTCACCGGAATAGTTTCAAATTTCGCATTTAATATTCGCAATGGGTACTACAACCTATCTATGCAGGTCCACATCTTCGCTTAGCCCCCATATAACGGTATCTCCCGATATTCAGTATTTTTTCATTTTAGCTTTATTTTTCGACGGATTTTTTAAAATTTCAAATTCTTTCTAAATGATGGAGGGTATTTAAAGTTCGGCCCGGCCGAACTTAGCTGCTTATTTACTTGTTTTGTGTAAATAAATTCAGCCTTTCCTGGTCCAAACTACCCCAAATGCTGCTGTTATTAAAATTTAGTTCAACAAGTTTCCTTTTCTACCTAAGTGTTAAAACCGAAATTTTAATAGAATGTGTTTATACCCTACACCACATAGTGGTAAGGGTATTATGTATTTGTGAATTTGTTTGTAACAGAGAGAAATAAGCGAGATAGACCCATGGTTACTTTTGAAGATATTCATGGAATCATTTTTTTAATCGATTTATGCATGTCCGTCCATGTATTCTTGTGAACAAAATGCAGGTCGTATTTATTATCCGATTGAGATGTAATTTTGCAAACAATGTTTGTTTGGTTTGGATCAGATTTAGATATAGCTCCCATATATATCTTCATCCGATTTTTGGTTTATTGTGCACAACCTGTGCAATAATACCCCAAATGGGATGAAATTTGGCAAATGTAGCCGATGTACACCAAGAATTAACTCTGTGGGATTTGGTGAAAATCGGATGTGATTTAGATATAGCTCCCACATATATCTTGATCCGATTTTTGGTTTATTGTGCTCAGCCTGTGCAATATCAGTCCAAAGGGGATGAACTTTAGCACATGTAGTCAGTGTACACCAAGAATTAACTCTATGAAATTTGGTGAAAATCGGATCTGATTCAGATATTGCTCCCATATATAACTTCATCCGAGGTTTGATGCATTGTGCACCAAATGTGCAATATTAGCCCAAAAGGCATGAAATTTGACACATATGGTCGAGTGAAGGCTATAAAAACCCAATGCAATTTTGTGCACATAACAGCAGTGGTGTAGGGTGTCAGATAGTCGGCTCCGTCCGGGTTGATGTTGGGCTGTAGGTGAGTGCTAAGGCTGGATTTTTTGACGTTTGGAAGGGTACGAAAAGGAACCGAGAAGAGCTACAGCTCTGCAATTTGGATTCAGCGTCACCGATGGTGTGTAGGATAGATGTGACAAATCGTTTTGGGAAATTTGTACCAAAAGGGTGCGAAAACTTCTAATATGTACTTTAAATGTTACTATTCGTATGTTATGAATGAATGGATCTAGAATCGTCGAATTTGGTATGAGAATCAATAATGGTAAGCTCTCTATAGTTATATAAAGAAGTTTTGGAAAACGAGAGCAATAAGTGTTGGAATACTTCTAAATAGGATATAATTGTTGAGTAGAGAAGATGGGTGGATATATGGAGATGTTTTAAAAAACGAGTACTATAATTGACAAAAAAGTACTTAATAATGTACAATTCGAACGTAAATATAATGAGTAGAAGTGGAAATTCGTAATTTAGTGTTAGGGTGGAAAGGTAGAGATCTTTTGGAAAAGGAATATCATAAGAGTTGCAAAAGTACTGAATATGGTAGAGATGCAAATCGAAATGTTGTGTTAGATGGATATATGGAAATGTTTTGAAAAAAGGGTACCATTACTGTTGGAAAAGTACTATATAAGGTATAATTTAATAGTAAATGAAGGAGTGGTGTTGAAAATCCGAAAGTATATGGACTTAGCCATATTGGGTGACTACAAATCGCATTTTTTTCTGACGTTGGAATATATTTAGGGAATAATAGATTGGGTGGTCTAATCCAATTTTTGATGGCGAATTCAGAAATCTCACACCTCCAAATGGGACAACAGTGGACCCAAAAGTATATGGACTTAGCCATATTGGGTGAAAATGAATTCAAATCGGAATTTTTTTATTTTTGCTTAATTCAGAGTAATGCTTGTGAGCGATTATTACTCGCTCGAGGAAGCGATCAAAAAGTGAGAGCGATTGCTCCAGTTTCGCTTTCCGATCGAATTCGTGCAAGAAACACAGAGTATGTTTAAGCTCTGCTTAGCATATTTTATCGTTAAATTATTTTTTGTAAAGGAAGAAAAGATTGAAGACGCGTATTTGAAAATGCATCTATAATAATTATTAGTCCCAAATTTTTTTGACTTTAATTTTACGTATTCTTCAATAGATGTAAAATAACCCTCTCTATAAAACAAAACTTAACACTTTTATTTTATTAGTTAATTTTTTAAAATTTCGTTGAAAGTTTTTTTTTAGTTCAACATGTTTTCCCTAGTAAAGTTTGACAATGACGGTGACTTCTATGTTGTCAAAACAAAAGACGTGAAGCATCACAATTCCGACAATTGTATTGTAAAGTATAAAGGCTGTTCGTACTCCGCAAATTTCATTAAAGCTGACGGTAAGTTAATACAATTTAATATACAAAACATATTCAAATAATTAAACCGTTTTTTAAATAAGAGTATAAATTATGTGTCTATGCGACACATTAGTTTCCATGACATGCCTATATATTGTGAAATCATGATAATAACTTTTTTTCATCGCATGTCCTTGTCAGCATGCAAAGGGTATGAAAAATTATTGCTAAAATATGCAAAAATGATTTTAAGAAAAAAATCACAGCAGGTGAATAAGAAATAATATAATTTTCAAACCCGCGTCGGAATTTTATAAATATTGCTCGAATTTTATTTCCAAAAATATTTGTGAAATTTCTGGAACAAATTTGGTCACAAAATAGAAAAACGATCATTTAGATCGTGCTACTTTGTCCAAAAAATAAATAAAAATAAACTTAAAGCATCACAGGCGCCATTTTTTTCATAATTAAACACAAGAAACAATATGACTGTAAAAGTCTAAAAAGCGTCAAAGGAAAATGTTTTACTTACTAACCGAATTAAGTAAAACTCAAGATTATATCCGTCGGAGTTTGTAGAGTTCCGTAGAATACAATAGAGTTAGATTTTATATTAGAACGTTACCAGGACTAAAATATTAATACATTAATTTTCATAGATAATAAAGAAAATCTTGAAGAGAAGAAACAAAGTGAGAATTTAATGGGGACAATAAACGCGGAGAATCAAGGAACACAAATAGCACCAAGAATTCCTGCGAGCCGTGGTCGTGCTTATCAAAATATTTTACCGTCGACAATGTTATACATGAAAGAGTATATAAAAAATCTACCTCCACTAGGATCAAACAGATCAGATTAAGAGCCTATGTCTTCAGTCACTATACATGGTGAAAATAACGCATCGGATTCGGAAGAGAATAATACGACAGATTTTTCATCTTTTGAAACTATATCAAGAGGACAATTTGATTTATCCCGGTAAGCATACTTAGCCCAAAAAACCATAAGTTTATGGGAGAAGAAACGTTTTAAAAATAAAACTAAAAATATCTATCAAAAATAATTGACACTAAATATTTTTTATTATATATTATTTAAATTCTCCTTGATCACATATGACGATTCAGAATTTTGTGTCGTAAATTCCAAATCTATAACACAAATCCAAGGAGGTACGTGTGTGGTGAAATGTAAAGGCGGAAAATATGCAGCTAATTTAATTTCGACTAGCGGTAAGTTAACAAAAATAGCTATATAATTTTTATAATAGATATAATTACTATTTATTGAAAAATCATGGTGATGATGCAGTTATTAATTAGTCCTAGCATTGTTTTTTTGGAATCAAATTTGATTTCAAATATAGAAATATATATTTGGGGAAAGTTTTAACATGGTATATTTTTGTAGATGACAAATTACAACTTTTTAAACAAAAGCAAATAAAAGAAAATGCAATTTTACCGCCGGACATCAAAAATAGTAAATCGGAAGAAAAATCAAAAAATAATTCAGATCCATCAGAAATTTGTTCATCAACAGAGCTATTAGAAAAATCAATGGACTTAAATTGTCCATCTAAAGCATATATTCAAGGTTTTACTGTGGAAATATGCACTGAATGGGAGAGGTCAACAACTGATGAACCAGAAAACGAAGTTTGGGAAACTGTAGCAATTAATTCTTTGGGGTTATCTGAAGAAACCCCACGAAATGAACAACGAATAAAAAAGTCGCAGCCATTGTCATCAGCTGACATATTAAAAGAATCGTCTTTGTGCACTATATCTAATAGAAATATATAGAATAGGATATATAAAAATGCAGAATATTAACCCTAGCTGTATAAAAAACTCGACCGCAATTGAACCCAAAGTAACCAATAATACTTTGTATACCACGGATGCAAGCAAAATAAATTCTACAATTGAAACTCAATCAGAAGACTTTTCGTCCGATTGTCTACCACCTGACTCAAATGGTATGGTAATACACAACGTTTCTGGTTACACATCCGTAAAAAACCCACAAAAACTACAGGAAACAGGATCAACTAGCGGAATTAGGTCGCCGCTATTGTCATTGGACAGATTAGAAGAATCGTCATGGAGAGCAATATCTAATAGAAAGTCCCCTGAAATGCGGACTACAGATCAATTCCACTTCAAAAACTCAACGGCAATTGAACCACAAGAAACCAGTGACTGTGTAGGTTTTACGGATATAAGCACAATAAATTCTACAATCGAAACTTTGCCAGGAAACTCTACGTCAGAGTTTCTACCCCCCGATTCTAGCAACAACAACAATAGCACAAATGTGAGCTCCTTCATAGAGGTTATACCTAAACCAGTAAAAGTCGATGTTTTGACAGTACCATTTTCGAAGCAAAAATCAAAGCAACATTTCTGTGTGTTTTGCAAAACCTTACAATGTAAGATTGCTCGACACTTTTGTTTGAGGCACAAAAAGGAGAATATGGTTAAAATGGCAATGGCCTTACCAAAAGGAAACCGAAAACGCAGAGAAATATTTGATAAGCTCCGAAAAAAAGGAGATTTTATACATAATACCGCTCATGATAAAAATACAGGTTCACTCATCGTTACAAGACGACAACAATCAGAAGCATACCATAAAGCAGACCACTACGTATGCTGCGTCCACTGTAAAGGGTATTATAGCATCACTTCGGCAAGAACTCATATTAGTAAATGCTCTAATAAAAAAATAAACGGAACAATTTCATTGAAGGTAGGAAAATCACTCAATACGTACACGAATTGGCAAACACAGAAATCAAAACAGCGATTTTTCCCGTTCTACGAAACGATGAAATTACGAAGGCCATTCGGTACGACGAACTAATAATTAGATACGGCAACAGGTTATCCGAAAAGTTACCTGATATTCACCACCATGATCAAATCCGAGCGAACATGAGACTCTTGGGTCGATTCAAAATTGAGTGCATAAAATTACATCCTGAAATAAAGGAGTTGAAGGAAATTTTTAAGCCACATTAGTTTGATATGACAATTGAAGCATTACGCAAAACTGCAAAGTGGGAGTTTGGTCGGGGGTTTTCTACTCCAGCAGTTGCCACCAACTTATCAGGTTCGTGGGAACATACAAAAGAATGAGTTCATAAAAAATCAAAATATTGATATGAAAGACCTTCTGGACAATTTTGTTTCATTGTGGGTTGAAGAGACTCCCACTCAAATAAATAAAACAGCTATTGAAGATAGAGAAAACAAAAAAAGATCTAAGAAGGAAGATTTGCCAAACAAAAAAGATATCAAACAACTTTATGATTTTCTAAGAACCAAAATGGTATATTCTATAGCTACATTAACTAAACAATTTATCTTTGATACTACTCTAATATGTCTACAAGTGTTCAATCGACGACGAGCCGGTGAGATCGAGAGAATAACTATTGAAAACTACAATAAGAAGGAAACTATTACTGACAATATAGAAGCTGGATTTCTTGATAATATTTCTAACCAATCTTTTGAATTCGCTAAACAGTATGTAAGAATTACCCTAAGAGGCAAATTAGGACGTACTGTCAGCATATTGCCGGATCCTTTAAGTAGAAAGGCAGTTGACCTTATATTAAAGCATCGCAATAGTGCCGGAATCCCGAAATCAAATCACTATATTTTCGCGGCTCCCGGATCATCAGGAATATCAAAAAAATATATAAGAGCTTGCCCGTTATTACGCAAGTTTGCCTTAGAGTGTGGGGCTACTATTCCTCACACATTAAGAGGAACTAAATTAAGGAAGCATATAGCAACGTATACAGCTTTGCTAAACGTTGAAGAAGCCACAGTGGATAAGCTAGCAAATTTTCTTGGTCACCATAAGGATATACACAAAAGTATTTATAGAGTATCGGTACCAATGGCGGAAATCACTACAGTGTCGAAGATTTTGCTGTCAGCTGCTGGTTGTAGGAATGAGGAAAACTCCGAAAATAATAGTTTTGATAATCTTCGTGGAAACATAACTTCCGAATCTGAGTCATCATCTGATGAATCAGACAATATTACATATGGCGCAAATTTGGTAAAAAAGAAAATTGGTAGTAAGTATAATAGGAAGACTAGTAGTACCTACAATAAGAAACTTGATAGTAAGTATATTGAGTAGAAACTATAACTAAGCTTGCGTAGACTTATGTTTCAAAATACACAGTGGTTAATTTACCGAAAACCATGACCAAAATCAAATGCATTATGATCTAGCTTTAATTTTTTTTGTATTCCTGATTTTATATTTCATTTCACTTAACCCTCCTACTGAGTATTAATGTGGCCTTTTTGGTCCACTGTGTGGATAAGCTAGCAAATTTTCTTGGTCACCATAAGGATATACACAAAAGTATTTATAGAGTATCGGTACCAATGGCGGAAATCACTACAGTGTCGAAGATTTTGCTGTCAGCTGCTGGTTGTAGGAATGAGGAAAACTCCGAAAATAATAGTTTTGATAATCTTCGTGGAAACATAACTTCCGAATCTGAGTCAACATCTGATGAATCAGACAATATTACATATGGCGCAAATTTGGTAAAAAAGAAAATTGGTAGTAAGTATAATAGGAAGACTAGTAGTACCTACAATAAGAAACTTGATAGTAAGTATATTGAGTAGAAACTATAACTAAGCTTGCGTAGACTTATGTTTCAAAATACACAGTGGTTAATTTACCGAAAACCATGACCAAAATCAAATGCATTATGATCTAGCTTTAATTTTTTTTGTATTCCTGATTTTATATTTCATTTCACTTAACCCTCCTACTGAGTATTAATGTGGCCTTTTTGGTCCACTCACAAAATTATTTAAACAGTACAAATATTTTTTTAGATTATGCTACCGGCACTTTCAAACTCCCCAAATTGCCTTATTTAAAATCCAGTAAAGATTTGATATCATGGCCGATTTGACATTTTACAGATTAATCACAAATGCAATAATAATTGGTCTGTTCCAGAAATGCAGGAATGTTAAAGTTTTTACTACGATAACCGATTTCCTCTTTACGATATCGGAAAAAATTGCAAAACTAGTAGATTCTTGCAGGTTCTGGAACATAGCCAATACAAACTATTTTTTCTATTATATTTTAAATCGGTTTGTTGTTTCCAATATATAATATATTAGATTTTCTAATCAAAAATAAATTTGGAGTACATATTTGTTTGCATAATTTATATTGCATTTGGTTTTGGTCAGGTTTTTCGTGTGCAATTTTTCACTGTGCTATGCCGAAAAAAATGAATGCTAATGAAGAAAGATAAAACTGTTATATTCTTAAACGACTTTAATGTTTTGTTCGCATTCATTTTCATTTGACATTATTAAATAGGATATTTGTTACATCTGTTTTAGGCTTATGAAATGATTATTGTGTAATTTTTACAGATACTTCTTGCGGAAAAACAAAAAAATGCCGGTGGACAATCGATGAGCAAGAAGCTTTGACTGCTGAATTTGGGGATATTTTTTCAATGGAAAAGTTGCCATCTCTCAAGGAGTGCATGAGGGTCGTGTCTGAAAATGAAGTGCTATGCTGCAGAACCCCAGCACAAGTAAAAACGTTTATAGACAGCAAAAGGAAAAAAGGCAAAAAAATTAAGGTTGATATTAATGATGATATTAATGATTTTAATAAAGATATTAATGATGAAATTTTTCATTCATTACAACCCTTTTCGGGTAGTTATTTTACAATGCAATGCTGTTAAATTAATATATGCACAATGTGCACTAAATCTTGTAATAATTTATATACATTATAATATAATTATAAATGTATACTTATATAAAAAAATAAGTCATATAATTTAATACAAACCGCTTTATTTATATACACGAATATAAAAACTTCAAATGTTTATTTAAAATTAAGAGTGTAATAAAATTGCACTATAATTCTAACTGTATTATAAATATATAAAATATTTAATAATATCGAAAGAAAACACTTTATATAAATCATCATATAAATTTTACACGTTTCTTTTAAATTAAATTAATTTGTTTAAATTTATGTTTGCAATAAACATAGTGTTTATATGAACAACTGACAATTACAATATATACAGTTGATTTTCACATATTTCATTATTCAGGAACTGATAAATAGAGCAAAATCCATCATTAGAAATTGTGAGAGTCTACTGTATATTTGAGAACTTTTATTTTGTTACCTTTAAGTGTTGATTTTTTAAGTATTTTTCCCAGCAAAAAATATATAAAAGTTTGGAATTTCTTACTGTACAATCAGTTTCTATAACAATTTACTTAGAATCAAAAAATGCTCCGTCCCAAAACTTGAGCCTAATTCATAATAAAAATAAAATTCCGTTGTCTACTGATAACCTACACTACTTTTCTACACGCGAATCAAAATTCATTTGATTATCCTAATCCTAAATTATTATCCTAATAATAATTTCATGAGAAGGTTGAAGAACATTGAATTGACAGTAATTCCTAAGTTCTTCAGAAAAATGATTTTTTGGATCCTAATTTTCATGCTTAATATTTTTCTACCACAGAAAACATAGTAAATCAAAGGACAGGGAGTAAAACATCATTGGCGGAGATGTTTGTCATAACGATATGAAAGTAGACACTAAAATCAAGGCAGGTTAGAAAATTTTTACTTAGGCCCCTTCTATAACGAAGAAAAAACGTAGACAGTCTTCATTACAGAAGACGACAACAAAAGTCATATTATATACAGAAGAAAAAGTTTAATCGTATTATATAGAGGAAAACGTAAGTCGTATTTTTTGCAGAAGAACAAAGTATTAGTAGCCTTCTAATTAAAGAAGATTGTCTGTTATTTGAAATTCAAGGTTTCTTGGGTCTACATGCCTGTTTATTATTGTCGCGTGGACTCTAATTTTGCATTTAAGGGGTCTACTTAGCAACATATGTCCAAATTTTGGTGTAGCCCCCCATACGTCTTAAAAAGCGACGAAGTTAGAAATGCTAATTTTTACATTTGGGGGGGAGCACAATTCGACATGGGTAAGTTAAATAGTTAAGGTTTCATGAGTCTACAACATTCCAGTCAAAACTTGTGGACATAGGTCCAAAATTTGCCATAGACCCCAGAAAGCGCGCCAAAAACTTGAACCATTGTTTCAAAGTATTTTCCAGTGTGTGTGTGCATATTTGCATTTTGCAATTTGCATTTTGCAATCTATTAGTCCCAAAAAAACTTAAGTATCTTACAGTCTGTGAGCACATTTAACCACAGAATGGGCTGTAATTTGACATTTAAAGTGGAGTGGATATTTGAGGAATATGTTTTCCTGAAATATCGATTTTTAAAGAATATGTTGTCTTCAAACTTGATTTTTATACCCAACACCCTTTTTTCAGGTGGTCGACCTTTAGCCACATTTTACTTCTTGTTCGAAAGTTATTTTCATAAGCTTTCCAACGATACCCATATTGTAGTAATCAGTTCCGGAAAACTGGTTTTTTAACCCGAACTTTTGTGTCAAATACCCGGGTAGCCTTTCCTGTGATCAGGACACCAATTTCTACCATTGCAACTCTTTCACTAAACTACAGATAAGTCTAGGTCATCATTTTGCCTACAGAAGGTATATCGTATAAACCCTGATACGATGAGAATGTGCCTACTCGAAATAATGGTTTTAGACACCACATATGCTAAGACGAAATCCGTTTCAGGCAATTTGGATTCGATTTAGCCATGTCCGTCCGTGTGTCTGCCCGATCTGGCCCGAATTTGGTGCACGGTAGTTTTTTGTTCAAACTTAGTTTAAGTTTGAAAATGCCCAATATCGGTCCACGTTTTGACATATCCTCCACACAACAATACTGCCCTATTTTCAGTATTTTAGAGATTTTAGCTTCATTTTTCGATGAAAACAGTTCTATTTTGACCCCACACAATGATACTGCCCGATTTTTAGGATTTTTGATTCATATGTCAACGAAAACTGTTCTATTTTGACCATTAGGGTTCCCAATGGACTAAACACGCTTCCGTTAAAAAGTATGGACTTAGGTCCATAATTGAATTGGCCCCCATTTTAGGTATCGCCCTATTTTATATATTTAGAAGTTTTTGCTACATTTTGCTGTCCTAGTAACAAGTAAATATACATCCTAGGTTTTTAGAGGACAATAAACATCTCTAGAAAAAATTGTTCATATAGGCCTTGATTTTTGTAAAGCTCCCAATTTAAGATACCTCCCTATTTTAAGTATTTTCAAGTGTTAACCAACGCTTTTCGACTTACTAAGGAGTCAACAAAAATGTCATTAAAATATTATGGACGTAGGTCCATATTTTAGTATTTGATCCTTTAACGGGACCGCTTTTTATGAGTATTTTAACTTTTTTGCTTATGGTCGTTATATTAGTCATTTTTCTGATCAAATTTCACACATATCAATATTTTTACCATTACAAAGTCTGGTATAAAGATGGAGTACCGCGAGCCACTCCTTCTAGTACCTCCCCCACAAAGGGTCAAAATTTGGAATAACTAAGACGTTCAAAAATGCGAAATATACATCGGATTCTCATCAAATTTCACACATACCAATTTTTTTCCGATTACAAAGTCTGGGGTAAATATTATAGCGGAGCACTCCTTCTCCACTCCTTTTGTACCTCCCCCACAAGGGTCAAAGTTTGGAATAACTAACGCTCATAGAATGCAAACTATACATCGGATTCTCATCAAATTTCACACGTATCAATATTTGTACCATATATTTATCTGGTGTAAAGATGGAGTATAGCGAGTCACTCCTTCTGGTACCTCCCCCACAAAGGGTCAAAATTTGGAATAACTAATTTTCATTTTCATCAAATATCACACATACCAATATTTTTACCATTATAAAATCTAGTGGACTATGGCGAACCACTTCTTTTGGTAAGCACCTCCCCTCCACAAAAAATGATCAAAATTTAATCATCCGATTATTTTCAAACTTCGCACATACAAATAGTTTTACCATTGTAACATCTTGTGTAAAAATGGAATATAGCAGACCACTCCTTCTGGTACCTCCCCCACAAAGGCAAACATTTTGAATAATATATAATAATACGATTTTTTTCTATACATTTACACAAAATACCTGATGGGAATATCGAAAATAGGGGACTACTCTTTCTAGTACCTTCCTCACATAAGTTCAAAATATTTAATAAATATAACCTCTTAAACATGCGCAACGAGTCAGCGATGCTCTTCAAACATATTATGTTTCAATATATCTGAGCCCACTCCTTCTGAGTCTCATTAAATGCAAAACGTCTGCTTACTCCTTCTGGTACTTCCCTCATAAAGTATGAACATTCTGAATATATATAACTCGCATGCGAAAGAAGTCTACAATTTTCTTAGAGACAGCTGTCTGCTATTTCTTCCTTCCCCACAAAAGTTCAACATTTTCCATATTTAACATATTAAATGTTGGAATTCCTTTATATTAGGTCACATGCGAAATGAACAATATTGATCTTCTGGATTTCCCTCTATAATGGTTCGATATATTGAAAAACCACAGAACACAAGTCTTAACATATTTTAATAATGTAGACTTAGGCTGAGGGTATTAATATGTCGGCAAACCCGACTGATGCTTTTTAACTTGTTTATGTATATTTTGTCCTCAAACTTCAATTTTATAAGAAGATGTTGCTCTCAAGCGAAATTTTTGAACTCCTGAAAAAATTTTTTCCTGAAGCGAACTTTTTTAAGATAAAAAAATGTTTTAAACTCAGTTTTTTTAGGAATATATGTGTATGTGCTCATTTTATATTTGCAGTTTTCCCAAAGGACGTCCGGTTATCATGCAACGGCGTTAAGTTGTGTTGAATATATTTGACAACGTGGTGGCAACCCACAACAAAATATACGCCGTGTGCATTTTGGGGACAGTGTCTGAAAGGAGCTACAAAATATATACGATGACCTCAAAGTAGTCGTTATGTAAAAAATATGTTGCAAATCAAAAGTTTTCGGGAAAATTACCTAATAATTATTAAATGTAGCTGAGGAAGGCCCTAATTATACTAAAAATGGGTTCAAAAGTTAAAAAAAATTGCTGTCCCCAAACAAAGCATTTGACATATATATATATATATATATATATATATATATATATATATATATATATATATATATATATATATATATAAATATACGCCGTGTGCATTTTGGGGACAGTGTCTGAAAGGAGCTACAAAATATATACGATGACCTCAAAGTAGTCGTTATGTAAAAAATATGTTGGAAATCAAAAGTTTTCGGGAAAATTACCTAATAATTATTAAATGTAGCTGAGGAAGGCCCTAATTATACTAAAAATGGGTTCAAAAGTTAAAAAAATTGCTGTCCCCAAACAAAGCATCTGACATATATATATATATATATATATATATATATATATATATATATATATATATATATATATATATATATATATATATATATATATATATATATATATATATATATATATATATATATATATATATATATATATATATATATATATATCAACGATCCTTTTAGGTCAAACCCATATCCTTCATATTTGAAAAATACGCTGTCTTGAAATTTTTATGTTTTTCGGATTAGATTAAAAAAAGACAACAAAAAGAACAATAACAAATAACAATACAGTGCAAGAAGATCAAAGAAGGAAAATCAACTAAAGAATAACAACTAAAAAGTTAAAAACATTGACAACAATCGTAACAAAAACGAACTAAAACAAGTTAAAAAGCAGTAAGTTCGGCCGGGCCGAACTTTTAATACCCTCCACCATTTGCAACGAATTTGGAAATTTTCAAAAAATAAAATCCTTAAAAAATTCTGTTAAAATATTAAAAATACTGAATATAGCCGTTATTTTGGGGTCTATACGAC